TTGTCAGCTCTAACATTAATTTCTAACATCCCCCTTGAGTCCAATCATATGTGATCCTTCATGCTATTGAAAGAACTGCCTTTAGGATTCACTTGTGAATGGGTCCATTGGAAGTGCCTCTCACTGGTCTTAGCCAAGCAGTTGATACGACAGAATCTAAATCTGTCTGTGTGGGTTCAAAACCTGCTAAAGATGAAATTATCAAGTGATCACCAGAGTCAAAATCTGTTTCTCTTGGAATGTGCAGGTTCAAAACCTGCGAATGATGAAATTTATTTTCTATGAAAACACATCTTGACATTGTCTCATGAATGATTTTCTCAACAACTCATCTCGACTGATGTTAGCCATGTCATTGCTGCAATAGATTCAAAATCTGTTTCCATTGAAGTCTACAGGTTTGAAGCCTGTCGAGTGACACATTTTTTGTATTAGAACATGTCTTGTATATCTGCTCATGTACAGCATTTCAAATGTTGATCTTCATTGGTCTTAGTCAAATTGTCACCAGAGTCAAAATCTGTTTCTCTTGAACTGTGCGGGTTTAAAACCTATCAATGATAACATTTTTATTTTTATTCTCTGAAATCACACCTTCGCATTTTACACATGAATCTTAAAATGAATTGGAAGGCCTCAAATTTCTGGTGGCATTATGACTTTCTTGGAAGAGAAACCAAAAAAACTCAAAGCTGGTGTATGAAACCATGTTCCACTGCTAGCCTTGCAGCAACTTGTTTTATGATCCATGCCAACTGTTGAACATTGTCCGAGTCACTCTCTATCAATGATATCAGAGACTGTCTATGATTTAATATTCAAGGCATGTTCTAATAAAAAAAAATGCAGCATTCAATGGGTTTCAGACTGTCAAGGTGCATTTTCATCAAATAAAAATGTTATCATCAGCAGGTTTCAAACCTGCGCTGTCCAAGAGAAACAGATTTTGACTCTGATGATCACTTGACAGTTTCATCTTTAGCGGGTTTTGAACCCACGCAGACAGATTTAGATTCTGTCGTATCAACTGATTGGCTAAGACCAGTTAGATTCACTTCCGATGAATTCATTCAAAAGTGAGTACTCAAGATACATTTATCTGCATTTTATCAGCTTTTTCAATAGCATGGTCAGTGTTGATTTTTTATCCTACTCTTATTGCAAAAGACACAGACTTCCTGCTGGGGGTCTTGACTTCAAGACCTGTTTGTCTAACAATTTCCCTAAAAAAGTGCTGATGGAAGACCACCATGGTGTGTTCATGAGTGAAAATTGACAATGAAAGGATCACACAGTGTATTTTTGACACAGAGTTCAATATATGACCAAAGTCTTGATGCAAACTCAGAAGGATATAAGTACAATAACAATATAATTCTTTCTAAAGGTCTTGACTTGGTCGAAGAAGAAAAAGAGCAGATTACACATCAAACTTTCAAATTTGATCCTAATAACCTGGGGAATTAGGAAAAACACAAATCTATTAAGGCTGAGATTCTTTATTGTGCTCATTCAAGTGATTGCCAGAATCAAAATATATTTCTCTTGAACTAAGCAGGTTTGTAATATATATAATGATGTGTCTTTTGCATTAACTTGTGATTCATCACATTCCACCATTTTGGATTTCATAGAATAGAAATGTTGTTGTTTTTAAACCTGCACAGTCGAAGAGAAACAGATTTTAAATCTGGTGACAACTTGACCAAGACCAATGAAGATCAATTTCTGAGATGCTGTCTATGAGCAAATATTCAAGACACGTTCTTAGAGAAAAAATGCGACATTCGACAAGTTCAAGTTTCAAACTTGTTGCACTCTGATGGAAACAGATTTTGATTCTGTTATGACAGTCACTTAGCTAAACACAACTGTGATCAGCTTGCAAGCAAACCGACCACGAGCAAATTTTTCAAGGTGCGTTTTCATAGAAAATAAAATTTATCACTGGCAGGTTTCAAACCTGAGCAGTCCCAGAGAAACAGATTTTGACTCTGATGATCACTTGGCAAATTCATCCTTTAGCAGGTTTTGAACCCACGCAGACAGATTTATATTCTGTCGTATCAACTGCTTGGCTAATACCAGTTGAATGTGCTTCCAATGAACTCATTCAGAAGCGACTTACATACTTTTGCCTATTTTCTGCGCTTCTGACTTGCTTCTGCACACTTAGAACACACTTAGAATTACTTATATAGCACCATGTATCTTTTGACTCTGAACAACTTTTCACCACCATCTTGCATATTGTGGGACTCAAAGTCTAAAATACGCTATAACTGCTATTTGATACTGAGCAGCTTGAAAGCATCTAAGCGCAGAATGTTGCACTATTGTCTAAATACTTCTGCTTTATCTCAGAACTTCTTCAGGTCATTAAAATCAAAACTGGAAAATTTGATGTGTAATCTGCTCTTTTTCTTCAACCAAGTCGAGACCTTTAAAGAGAATTAAATTGTTCTTGTACTCATCATTCCGAGTTTGCATCAAGACTTTAGTCATACATTAACTTTTGTGCCTTGAGGTTTCACTTTTGAATGAGTTCGTTGGAAGTGCATCTCACTGGTCTTAGCCAAGCAGTCGATACAACAGAATCTAAATCTGTCTGTGTGTGTTCAAAACCTACCAAATGTTGAATAGCCAAGTGATCGCCAGAGTCAAAATCTGTTTCTCTTGGACCCGTGCAGGTTTGAAACCTGCCAAGGATAATTCTCATTTTCTATAAAAATGCACCTTGATATATGCTCATGGTTGGTTTACTCAAAAGCTCATCAGAGTTATGTTTAGCCAAGTGGTTGTCATCACAGAATCAAAATCTGCTTCCATTGGAATGCAACAGGTTTGAAACCTGTTGAATGTTGCATTTTTTTCTATTAGAACGTGTCTTGAATATTTATTTCCTCATAGACAGCATCTCAGACACTGATCTATATGTTGTTTTTCCTGTTAGAACACACCTCAAAATGGACAAATGTGTACTTTCCTGAGAGCACCATCTCACTGGTTGTGTGATTTTATAAAATAAAAATGTTATCATTGGGGGGTTTCAAACCTGCACAGTCCAAGAGAAACAGATTTTGACTCTGATAATCACTTGCAATTTCATCTTTAGCAGGTTTTGAACCCACGCAGACAGATTTGAATTCTGTCGTATCAACTGCTTGGCTAAGACCAGTTAGATGCACTACCAATGAGCCCATTCAGAAGTGAATCCTCAAGGTATGTTTGACTGCATTTTGTCAGTTCTAGTATTAGTTTCCAATATCCTCCTTGAGTCCAATCATATGTGATCCTTCCATTGTCGGTTTTCACTCATGACCCAGCTGTTAATATCCCAAGACATCACAAACATCATCGGCCCACTATGGTGGTCTGTCATCAGCACTTTTTCAGAGCAATTGCTAGATAAACAGGTCTTGAAGTCAAGAGCCCCAGAAGAAGTCTGATGTCTTTTGCAATAAGAGTAAAATAAATAATAAATAAATCATGGCAACCATACTATTGAAAGATCTGCCTTGACTTTTGATTGGGTTCATTGCAAGTGCATTCAACTGGTATTAGCCAAGCAGTCGATATGACAGAATATAAATCTGTCTGCGTGGGTTCAAAACCTGCTAAAGATGAATTTGCCAAGTGATCATCAGAGTCAAAATCTGTTTCTCTTGGACTGTGCAGGTTCAAAACCTGTCAATGATGAATTTTATTTTCTATAAAAACACACCTGGTTTTCTGAGAAACTCATCTTAAATTATCTTAGCCATGTCATTGCCATGACTCTGGTCTGCATGCTTTTTGAACTCTACACACTCTGAAGGTCTGTCTTTGTCGATCCTAAATCCCTCTGAGTAATCATTTGCCCATGGACATTTTCTATATCTATTTCTGTTAAACCAAGCAGGCTTAAAACCTGTATAATAACATGGTTTTTGTTTGGCCATTAAAACTTGCCTTGAATGCAAGCTCATGAGTCATTGCATCCCACCATTTTGTGTGGTGGTCAAATGCAGATAAATGTGCCTTGAGGGCTCACTTCTGATTGAGTTCATTGGAAGTGCATATCACTGGTCTTAGCCAAGCAGTCATTACAACAGAATCCAAATCTGTCTGGCAGAATCCAAATCTGTCTGTGCAGGTTCAAAACCTGTCAAAGATGAAATTGCAAGTGATCATCAGAGTCAAAATCTATTTCTCTTGACTTGGTAGGTTTGAAACCTGCCAATGATGACATTTTTATTTTATAAAATCACACCCTGTCCCATATCAAGCACTGCATTTTTGTGCCTGCCCTACATTACATGTCCATCTATTGTCCAATCCAATACTGCTAATATATTTTCATTATTTTATTTTTATGTCATGCTGAAGGGTACACCCAGCTACAGACCACAATGTATAGATGCAAGAGAAGCATTCTCGCTATATTCTGCTGCAAAACTAGTGCAAAGCAGTAGCACCTGGGCTGCATTGAAAAAGATAAAACAGACACGAATGATATCACTTTGATGAATACTTCAAAATGTCTAACTGTCCCTATTTTCTTGCACTTGGGTCTCTGAGAATCTATGCACTGCAAAATATTTTGCAAGCAGGTTTTGAACCTGCATGGTTTGAAAGAAACAGATTTTGACTCTGTTGCAACATCTACTTGGCTAAGACCAGTGATATGAAGCTCTCAGGAAAGTACACATGAGTCGATGTCAAGGTGCAATTTCATAGAATAAAAATGTTATCATTGGCAGGTTTTAAACTTGCACATTCCAAGAGAAACAGATTTTGACTCTGGTAATCACTTGACAATTTGATCCTTGGTAGGTTTTGAACCCACACAAACAGATTTAGATTCCATCGCATCAACTGCTTGACTAAGACCAGTGAGATGCAGTTCTAATGAACTCATTCAGAAGTGAATCCTCAAGGCACATTCATCTGCATTTTGTCAGTTCTTTCAATAGCATGGTCACTGTTTATTCTTTTATCCTTGATGCAAAGTTCAATATATGACCAAAGTCTTGATGCAAACTCGGAATGATAAGCACAAGAGCAATTTAAATCTCTCCAAAGGTCTTGACTTGGTTGAAGAAGAAGAGCAGATTACACATCAAACTTTCAAGTTTGATCCCAATGACCTGGGTAATGAGGAAGAAATACGCATCTGTAAGGCTGAGATTCAAGGCAAAGATTCAAAAGAGCCATCTGACCACTATTTGCTCATATATAAGGTCGAGGTGCACTGTGTTTGAGACCCTTTCATCATCATGTTGCTCTCCTCTTGCTTTTGAAAGTGCTGTATTGCAGTCTATATTTAATTCATCTGTTCAGCTGAGGGAAAACATCGTGAGTGACAGAGAGCAGGTGGACTTGCTTTGCGAATTCACTTCTGAATGTTTTCTTTAAAGATGCTTCTAACTGGTCTTAGCCAAGCAGTTGATGTGACAGAATCCAAATCTGTCTGCGTGGGTTCAAAACCTGCTAAAGATGAAATTATCAAGTGATCATCAGAGTCAAAATCTGTTTCTCTTGGACCGTGCAGGTTTGAAACCTGCCAATGATAAATTTCATTTTTTATGAAACCACACTTTTACATATGCTCATGGTCGGCTTGCTTACAAGCTCGTCAGAGTTGTGTTCAGCCAAGTGAGTGGTTGTAGTTTCCAAAACTATACAGATGTCCAGTCTGACTTTTCTTCTTGGTTCTTCTGTCAACTTCTTGATTATTATATTCCAATGGCTACTATCTATGGCTCATAATGACGAACCATACAGTGGTAGTGCACTGTAGAAAGCTAAGTTACAAAAACCAGAAACAGAGGCACATATGCCTCACTGAACATGCTTCTACAAGGCACATATCATTCATGACAAAATGTCAAGGTGTGATTTCATGAAATAAAAATGCTATCACTGGCAGGTTTCAAACCTGCGCAGTCCAAGAGAAACAGATTTTGACTCTAATGATCACTTGGCAAATTCATCTTTAGCAGGTTTTGAACCCACGCAGACAGATTTGGATTCTGTCGTATCAACTGCTTGGCTAAGACCAGTCAGATGCACTCCTAATGAATCCAGTCAGAAGTGAATCCTCAATGTATATGTCAAGGTGCATTTTCATCAAATAAAAATGTTATCATCAGCAGGTTTCAAACCTGCGCTGTCCAAGAGAAACAGATTTTGACTCTGGTGATCACTTGAAAATTTCATCTTTAGCAGGTTTTGAACCCACGCAGACAGATTTAGATTCTGTTCTATCGACTGCTTGACTAAGACCAGTGTGATTCACTTCCACTGAACTCATTCAGAAGTGAACCCTCAAGGCACATTTATCTGCATTTTGTCAGTTCTTAAATCACATGGTCACTGTTGATTCTTTTATCCTGCTTTTATTGCAAAAGACATCAGACTTCTTCTGGGACTCTTGACCTCAAGACCTGTTTATCTAGCAATTGCTCTGAAAAAGTGCAGATGGCAGACCACCACGGTGGGCCCATAATGTTTGTGATGTTTTAGTATTAATGTCTGAGCCACAAGTGACAAGTAACAGTGAAAGGATCACATATGATTGGGCCCAAGAGGGATGTTAGAAATTGATGTCTGCATCCAGTGTGATGAGGTGAAATATCATGGCTGGGATGAAGGCAATGATGTATAAATGCAAGGGTTGGACCTCCTCAGGCTCAGACATCAAATTCTATCTCATCCAATCAGGCCCAAATATTTATTTATGTAAAATATACATCTCTACTTCTTTTTATCTCATCTACCGGTGATGATCTCAAGCTTGATTGATATTGCTGTTGGTTTCATGCACAAATTAGGAATATTTTTTGCTAAAGAATTACTAGAGGCAAATGCAAGTATCCTTGATGCAAACTCGCAATGATAAATACAAAAACAATTTAATTCTCTCCAAAGGTCTCGACTTGGTTGAAGAAATAGACCAGATTACATGTCAAGTTTGATTCTAATGACCTGCAGAATGAGAAAGAATACACATCTATCAAGGCAAATATTCAAGCTGTATTTGAGACCTTTCATCATCTTATTGCTCTCCTCTCACTTTCTGAAAGTGCTGTATCACATTTTGTGTTCAATTCATCTATTTAGCTGAGGGAAAACATTACAAGTAACAGGTAATGGTAGACTTGCCTTGCAGATTCACTTCTTAATGGTCTCTTTAAAGATGCATCTAACTGGTGTTAGTCAAACAGTTGCTGCAACAGAATTCAAATCTGTTTCAAACCCATGTGTGTGGGTTCAAAACCCACTAAAGATGAAATTCCCAGTGATTAACAGAGTCAAAATCTGTTTCTCTTGGACCATGCAGGTTTGAAACCTGCCAATGATAGAATTTGTCTGTTTTTTTAATGAAACCACACCTTGACATATGCTCATCAGAGTTGTGTTTAGCCAAGTGGTCATCCTGGCATAATAGACATCTGTTTCTGTTGGAGTGCAATAGGTTTAAAATCTGTTGAATGTTGCATTTTTTTCATAAGAACATGCCTTGAATATTTACTCATAGACAGTATCTCAGACACTGATCTTCATTAGCCTTAGTCAAGCTGTTGTGATGCTTGGACCCATGCTGGGCAGGAACAAGTGTCTTTCGATACTTGTGTCAGGACCTATAGGAAGTTATGAGGTCTACATCATTTCCACTCTCTCTAGCAACAAGTCCATCTCAGCCAATACTCATCCAGCACCTATCCGCACTCGGATCTGCTTTTCCATACCATCTGTCCATGTGCCTTCCATGTCCACCTACCTCCACTGGTGCATGTTCATTTTCTCTCTGGCTCTTACTCAGGGTCAATGCTAGCAAACTACACAGTTGATCTGAGAGAATGGTACCTGCTACATAGGAGGGAGTGATTAATTCCACCAAGAGAGCTCAAGGCAGTGCTAGACAGAGCCACCACATTAGCACCAGAGCAATCCAAGCAGAAGAAACATTTATCTTTTACACCAGCATTCCTAACAGCCATTTGCGACCAGTTGAACCTAAACTCTCTGCTTGACACAGCAGTATTCGTGTGTCTCACCATGATCTTCTACTCTGTAGCAAGATTGGGTGAATTCACAGTCAGTGCCATCAGAGAATTTGACCTGAAGATACACATTACCAGATCAAACATGTCAGAGACAACAGACCGCAACGACCTCTCCATTACCAGATTTTACCTCCTAAAGATGAAGTACGCTCCTATCAAAGGAGAGAACACATTCTGGGCTGCACAAGATGGGCCAACAGATCCCAAAGCAGCCTTAGAGAATCATTTCAGAGTGAATCCAACAGAGAATCCAGGATAAATGCACTTTTTTGCCTGGAAGCACTCCAGGGGAATGTGTCCACTCTCAAAGAAAGCACTGCTCAAGAGAACAATGTTGGCAGCAGCAGCAGGGTTACCTAGCCTCAAGGGTCATAGTCTCCATATAGGAGGGGCACTGGAATACTTGCTGTGCAGGGTGCCATTTGACATGGTCAAAACCATGGGCAGACAGTCTGGAGAAGTGTTCACAATCTATCTGAGAGAGCATGCTACAATCCTCACACCTTATATACAGGCATCGCCAGTTCTCAAGCCATTCATGTGACACACTATGCCTCGCATTTAATAGCTGCCTGCAGTGAGTCCATCTCCTAACAGACAAGGGCATCAAGTTTCACTGCATGTAATGTTGTACTTCTAGAAATTGGGAACACAGCTCACCTTATGCCTTTTTAGGCACATACCATGTTTCAAACTAGAATGCTGTAGAGACTGACATCTCTGTGGCCTTGCAGAGGCTATATATGCAACCATCTCAAAGTACAGTTTGATGCACAACTTGTGCCAATATCTCTCCAATCATTCCCTATGTGAAGCGAAACTCTCCCATGCCAAGTGCCAAGCACGCACTACCTTCCCATACATTGGCTGCCCCAAGCGCTGCATTCTCGTGCGCTTTCCCATGCTCGAAGCGCTCTATGTTGCATGACCATCCATTGTCCAAACTAACCTCACTGGTATGTGTTCATATCATTTTCTTCATATCAGACCATATTATATTTTAATGATTGCTCAATTCTCATGTCATGGACCCTTATTACATACCTTACCTACTTGCTTCAGCTCCGCTTCAGGGGCGCATTTTTAGACATATATAAACACCTGTAGTTCATATTTAACATCATTGAATCATATAGAAGCTCCCTGCACCTCACTATCAGTGTACAGCTCATCCATCACATGCCATAGTCAGTAGCTATTAGCAATAAGAATATCCTTAACATCCATTATGAACCTCCCTTATAAACCCACCTCACGCCTCTCTCACACTTTGTGCTGCTCAAGTGCTCCGTAATGCGCTCATGCCTCACACGCTTTCCCGCGCCTCATGTTGGCCGACAAACAGCACCCTCTGCACCAATCCCTAGATCCTTGTTGCACTTGCTTCCCCTTTAGGGTCAAATGCACTTGTCACTTCAAGCATACAGCTTAGGCAAGCAGACTCAACACATAGTTCAGTATACCACCAACTGAATTGTTGTACCTACAACACCCTGCAGGACTTTGCCCAAGAACCCAACAAGTAGTACAATAGCTGTGTCTACCACAGTAGCACATCGTCACGAGAGAGATCAATATTTTTTTATGTCAACACCACTATCTTCATGACACGATGTAGAGAATCATGCCTCTCATGGCGTGATATGGCAGTTGCCACTAGGGAGTATACAGCACAAACTCGCAGCACCACTCTGTGTGCAGTCCGCAGCTATCCCTATACGAGGCACAGCTTTCCCATGCACACCCTTCCCACGCTTCACGATGTATATGTGCGCGTACTTTCCCATGCTTGAGTGCCCTATAGCACCAGCCATCCAGATGCATCCATCCACTGTCCTCCAAGTTCTCTAGTGTGTATATTTCTGTTTCTCTCATCTGTATATTGTTCCACTTTATTTTTATCATGGACCCTTACTTATATATATCTCTACATACCTACTCAGTAGCGCTTCGGCTCCGCATTACAGTGCTTAGGCACGCTATATAAGCGCCAGCAGTACTTACTTTTCCTACCTTTCACTTACCTTTTCACCCAACTTTACTTACATACTTAATACCTAGAAAGTCACAGTAGAAATCTATTCATTAGCACATCGCATCTCACATTTCTTATCTTGCTTTATATCATAACTTAAGCTTAGTCTCTCATTTCCGCATACATGCACGTACTTTCCCGCACTTTGCGCATTCCTGCGCCTTTGTGCCTTGCGCGCACCTGCGCGCTTTCTCGCGCCTCGCTTCAGCGTGTACCTCTAGATCTTCGCTGCACTCGCTTCCCCTTTAGGGTCGAACACACTTGTCTCCTCAAGTAATGCAGACTGGGCAACGCGCGACCTTACAACTATTTACAGATACAGTCAGGAGCATCATTTGTTCCTCTCAGTATTGTTGTTTCTACAATGAGTCGAAGTTTAGTCCTCAGCATTGGATTGATGATGCAGGTTGTGTGCACCATGATATCTGATTTTTCACTTTTAGCTTTGGCTGCCACTGAACTCAAAGCTGATGTTCATCAGGAAATTCTCACATTACTTATTTTGTCCTTAAATGGACTTATCTACACTTATTTACACTTAAGTGTCTTGGCAAAAGGTGGATCTACTTGTCCAACATTAGTGAGAAAAAAAATGTTGATGTATATTAACATACATGTTTTATTATATTTCATACTAAAAAAATATGAAACATGCCAGGTGAATGATGT